AAAGAACATTCCAAAATAGTTTTGATAATTTGTGAATATTAAAAGTTCTAAGTAGGAAGACTTTTATTGGAAACAAGACTCAAAAAGGGCAACAAACTAATTTGAAAGTATTGGTTATAAGAAAATTTTGAGACTATGAGTCGGAATGGATAAGTTTATAGGTACCAAGTGGGAAACATAATTTTTCTCTCACTAAGCATGAGCCATAGCTTCGAGGAAGCTGAGAATTTAGGCAGCATGGATATGTTCCATTCTACATTATGAAATTTGTAAAAGTTCCAATCATAGAGAGATTTTAGTTTACTTGAAGATACTTTTCAGATACAATTTGACGTATGCATGACTAAAAAAAATGCAGGCATGTATAATAGTGATATTGGAGCTATGTATAGGAGCAATTATTGATATTGAATGGCATTCATATATGTTACAAGTTAAAAGTTTTAAAGATATACATTTGATGCACTTATGGTATATGTACGGTCGAGTAAGGTCAAGATGGTACATTATATTGTGTATTGTTGGTTGTTGAGCGATATTGTTATTGGTGCCCGTGTGGGAGCTTATTCTGGATAGGTTAAAGTTTTTGGATAGTCCTAGTTATAGGAGAAGCTCTGCCGAAATTTTTAAGAATTTGTAAAGATAGCCAAATTTTGAGGGCAAGTAAGTTGAGATTTTGGAAAGGAAGTATAAGACCCATGTAGTCATAAGTGCTTATGCATGATGGTTAAAGGTAAAAGGATGGTAACTCTATTCTTATAAGTGACTTGTAAAATATTTGAGGACGAATGGCCTTAAGTGGGGGAGAATGTAGCACCCGAAAAATAATTTCGAAATACTTAAGCGTTATTAAGAAGGTTGATATGCGCTAATTATATTATTTTATGTGCAGACGAGGACTATTAATATGATGGATATCAATTTGATATGATAATAAGTGTACGGTATATATTATAAGTGATGTGGGGTCTAAGGAGAGCTCTAAGACTTAGTCAAGTTGGAAATTACATGATAGACTAAAGTTCCAAATAAGTACGCACAAGACCCAACTTTGTATGAGTATATCTACATATATATAAATGGTTATGTGATGTAAAACCTATCAAATGAACTATCTTCGAGTCTAGTTTCAAACCGTTTGCCATTTGGACATTCCTACAAGAAGTTATGACCAAGTTACCAAAGGCTGGCGGAGGAGCATGCAGATGCGAAGCATCCGAGGCCACGTCCGAAAGAGCGGCTGGCAGTAAAGTGTTGCCATAGCGTCCAAGTACGTATCCGAAACTTCAAAGAGGAGTGAAATGGGGATGCGAATCATCCAGGGTCGCATCCGAAACCCAAAAGTTTGGGCTTATAAATGCAAAATCGAGGGAAGAGGGCCGCATCCGAAACCCATAATGTCATTATATAAATTTTTATTTTAAATCTTGTTAGCAAAGTGACACTCAAGGTAAATGTTATAAGTTTTTATCAAAACTTACGTATTGACAAGAGTATGCATATTTGAGTGCTAAAGATAAATTTTCATGAAAAGTATTTCTTTTGGAAATTGACGAACATAATAGCACTTGTGGTATCTTTTAAAGATTTATGTTAAATTACTAAAGGCTTTAGCATGTAAAAGGTTATTTATTTAAATTTTGTTCAAAGGATTTGAATTTTCTATAAATGCTATGATTTGATAAAAATAGATCATTTGAGGCTACTCTACTATGAATCTATTTTGAAGTATCAAATGTTTTCGGAGTTACTCGTGTTCACCGAGATTGATTTCGGATATATCGTGTTCGTTGTCATGAAACTACACGTGTCGGTATAGGCGTAGATGGCCACTTTGTGGTATAGACTACGACAAAATGCTCTCCATCGAGAGAGTACTATTTTTGTGTTATTATTAGCATGGCTGAGTCGATTCGTATAACACTACGATGAGACGACCTGAGCAAGTAGGGTATATGATACTTGCCGCTAGGTACATAACCTAGTTGACCTTCTTGTGTCGGTGATGGTATAGTACTCCCAGTGAAAGGTAAGGATGATTTTCTTATGTTTAGGCCTAAGGAGCCGAAAGTGATTTTGATGACTTAAAGCAAATGGAATGATTTTGTACGATTTTATCCAAAATCTTGGATTGATGTAAGTGCTTTAAAAGTTTATATTGTAAGTTATATTTCACTTGGTTGTTATTTAAAATAACAAGGGTCATGGATTGATAGAATTTCTTATTATTTTATATCAAATATTGGTGCATTATTTTTATAAAGTTTGTCCCAGGAACTTGAGTTAGAGAGATTCTGTGACACTTATTGAGTACCGATGTGGTGTACTCATTCCTTAACCCCCCCTCCCCAGGGCCCTGCTTACTTTACATGTGTTCAGGGTGATGTATGATACGTGTCATGTGGTCAGGCCAGGATGACTCTCTTTCCGAGGTATTATGAAGCACCACTTTTATTTCGTGGTAGCTATCATATTCTTCCTTATTTTATTTTGTTGGAACTAATCCAACCGCTGGTTCTATTTATTTTACTTAGTAAAGAATATTTATTTTACTTAGTTTCATTGTTATTAACATGAAAGACATCATGTGTGATTTTGAATTGGAAAATATTTTATCATCTACCTTGAGAATGTATATGATTTTCAAGGAGCTTCCGCATTTAAATTGGTTTTCATACATATGATTTGGGTGCATCACATGGTTTGGTTCGCTCGGGTCGGGTAGTATACCGGGTGCCGGTCACGTAGATTTTGGGTCGTGATAGTTAGATATTTTAATTTTGGCCAATAAAAAGTTTTCACGTGGTATTTAAATAATTATTTTTTAAATTAAGCATTGACATAACGGTCAAAGGGTATAAGTGAACCAAAAAGGTAGATGGAGGGGTATTTTTTTACCCAATAGGTGGAAGAAGGGTATTTTAAAACCTTTTTCAATAGTTTAAGGACATTTTTAACTCTTTTCCGATTAAGAAAATATGAAAGATGGTTAGAATAGATCCATCAACTATTCTACTTCACCGTAAAAGAAACTAAGCAAATATAAAGAAGATATAAATCACATGAGTGGAAAGATATTAACCAAACTGGATTCAAGATTAGTCTATAGAAGATTAAATATTCAAAAAGATAAATCTAAATCATACGAAAGGAAATATATTCAATACATTGTAGTTTGTTACTCATAATCGCTACAATACCTTGTGTCTTGTTAGTGAATATGCTGAAAATAATTTAGTTTCAATAAGAGTAGCATAATAGGTTTGAGAATTAGGATTTTGAGTTAATTACTTGTTGGCTTGTAAATGTTTCATAATTCCAAGGCACAAGAAAAAAACTAATATTTTATTATTTTTAAACTTAATATATAAATATATTTTTCACATTGTAAATTTATTCGATACGGTTCGATATTTCTCGGTTTATTTTTATAAAATATAAACATACCCTAATTATCAGTACAATTACAGATTTATATAAAAAATTACGGTTTTATTAAAAGAAATTTAAAAATCGATTCAATACGGTGCGATTCGGTCGATTTAATCGGTTTTTAAATATCCACTGACACCCCTATTAGGAGAGAGTGAGAGAGAGCAATACTATGTTATTTTTTTATTTCTTTTTTTTTTTTGNTTGACTTCCAAAACAAAAATGTTGTCTCTAATGAATAAGAGGAGCAATAGTCTTCTTAGTTTGAAAGATCTCCGAATCTTTTCCAATTATAAAAATTTAATTTGTCTCAACTGTAGACTACGGTGCAAAATTTGCAAAAGGTCAAATTACAAACTTTTTTCACTTAAATTTCAAACAATACAGCAACATTTGTTAGAAGTCAAATAAACTTTTAAATTGATAATGACTTTAAATGCAATTTATATTATATTCTTTTTTTAAAGGCTTACATTATATTCTTTTTGGCATAATACTACCAGTAGCTTTTATCATTCATCCTATGGAGGTGTCTATATCTCCACCTCAGCATATTCTCGCAACAATATACCTTAATGTGTGCTTTTTTTTATTAATAAAAATTAAACGTCACTCAAAATTCGCTTTAAAGAAACACACAACTTCCTAAAGCACGAAGCAATGGTGTTGTGGCTTCGTGCTATGAGCTTTGCAACTGTCTCTTCGAACCCTGCTAACGGCTACTTAGTCTAGTTTGACCAATTATAACGCATGAAAGTTTTAGCTATCCTCCCGTTTTTGCCTTTTGTTAAACCAACTAAGTTTCCTAGGCATTATTCAAGAGTTGTACATAACAAAATTAGGACGAGAAGGTAAGAATAATTTGGTGAATATATATAGTTATACTATATTTATAACAGTCTGAAATTTTCTTGTTCTGTCAATGAAATTATTCAAATTAACATTTGTTGAACGGACTTAACGCAATATATTCATGATTAGTACGAATGGTGCTTCTGGTATTTCTTTTTATTCTATATTCGACGCGACTTTAATTATTGTACTAATAAATTTATGTATTTCACACTATATACAAATCAATGACATGCCATTCTCTTGTCAATCAGAAATTGAACAAAGAGAGCATCTCAATGACACTACAATAATGGAGATAAACAATTTTGTAGCACGACAAAAAACAAAAAATAAGCTCAATATTCTTCATTTGTGTATGCGAGTGATTGCTAAATCCTGCCAAGAATTTTGAAATAGTTGTACCCCAATTTTACTTTTAGTTCAACAATTCCTGCAAATATTGTTTTCAGACGAATAAAAGACATAGAAGGAGGGAAAAATAAGAACGGCAGAGCGTATAATTAGCCTCTGTATAAACAAACCCCAACAATAACTGTTTATATTTCCTTATTTCCCGCCAAATCCGGACTCTCATGGCTGACTCTCTTTACTGAAACAAACAAAACTCAAAACGTCTCCTTGGATCCTTTCATTTCTCTTTTACCCTTCTTCTCATCATTATTAATAATTAAGGTAAACTAATACTCTTCTTCCCCCTACCCCCACCTCAAACAGATCATGAAAAATTTGTTAATGATCTATATATAATGTGTGTCCTATATACATGCAAATAAACAGACTATGTAAATTCTTGTTATCAATGCCATTCTTTTGGCATTCGTTACAATTATATTTTCTGTTCGTGTATGTTACAAACCTGGGAAAGGTGTAGAGATCTGATATACATATTGTTTTTACTCGCGAAAATGGTGGATTTGTGATCTTTTCTTGCGTGGTGAATTAAAATTAATATGGTAATTATGTGTGTGCGCGCGGACATTATTTTAACCTTTTGTAAAGGTTAAGCTCTAAGGAGGTACCTTTGAGCTGGGAACAATTCCAAGTGTTCACAAAAATAGAACATGTATGACACAATTGATGTTTACTTTGTTACTATATGTGTTTCACACTGTTTACTTTTTATTGTTTCCTTTTTCCAGTTACACCCCGTTGGATATGCTTCGGTGAAGGACGTGCAATGAGGCAATATATAATTGACCATCTTAATTTATGCCTTCCAGACAAAGACATGTATTTGGTATAACACTTGCAAGCTTTATAACACAGATCTTTTCTGTTTCTGAGAATTGAATGATCTATATATCTTTCATGTGAGGGAGCTAGCGGATACATACAGTTGCCATTTTTGGCAAAACAATGTCAAATATTTGAGGTTGGCATTAGACATGTATTAGCAAGTAAGATTGTAGTTTCTGTGGTTTTGCTTATGATTCCATTATACATGCAAATCTACAAGGAATTCAAGGAAAATAAGGCGTTGAGTTACTGATAATATATCAGCTGCAAAATATGGCTGGAAAACATGGTATGGACATACCTGGAGGTTCAGTACTTCTGCACGGAGAACTGGACTTGCGGGTTATCGAAGCAAAGTCACTTCCAAACATGGACATGGCATGTTGTTCCAAGTTTAGTCCTTTTGGAACGCGAAAGGTTAAGAGCAAGGATACAGGGAATAAATCAGCAACTCGTAAAATAATAGATACTAGTGACCCCTATGTGTCTGTATGTATAGGCGGGGCAAAAGTAGCTAGAACAACAGTGATTCGCAACGATGAAAACCCCACATGGAATGAGCATGTACGCATACCAGTGGCTCACAAAGTTGACAAGGTAGAATTTTTTGTCAAGGACAATGATGGGGTAGGTGCTGAACTGATTGGAAAGGTGGAAATACCTGCTGATAAAATTCATGTTGGTAAAGAAATAAGTGGTTGGTTCCCTATTCTTGGATCTTCTGGGGATCCATTGAAAACTGGTGCTCAACTGCATCTGTCAATCCAATACAAGCCAGTGGCAGAGAACCCTATATATAGAAATGGTGTTGGAGGTGAGGCCAATAGAGTAGGAGTACCGCATACTTATTTTCCACTGCGAAAAGGAGGGAATGTTACTCTTTATCAGGATGCCCATGTACCTGATGCAACACTTCCTGAAATATTGCTAGATGATGGGAAGGTTTTTAATCATAACAAATGTTGGGAAGACATTTGTCATGCCATGTTGGAGGCTAAGTATTTAATATATGTTGTTGGTTGGTCCGTATATCATCCTATACGGCTAGTAAGAGAACCTACAAGGACGTTGCCGTCTGCAGGGGAACGAACACTTGGAGATTTGCTCAAGTACAAGTCACAAGAAGGAGTTCGCGTCATTCTGCTCATTTGGGATGATAAAACTTCAAATGATGATTTATTCCTCAAAACGGTAACATTTCAGATTCAATGATGTGTGCCTCAGGCTGAATATCTCATGGCAATCCATTTTGCAGTCTTTTTTCTATATATATATATATATGGAACATATAGCTGCTTGGCAAGTATAATAATGTATTTGTTTTATTGTCTCGATTTCAGGAAGGTGTAATGCAGACTCATGATGAAGAGACCAGAAAGTTTTTTAAACACTCAAGTGTACACTGTGTGCTTTGTCCTCGTTCCGCCAGCAGTAAGCTTAGTGTTTTGAAGAGACAGGTATATATATACTTTCTTTTTTCTTAGGGGCAGGTGGAGGGGAAAGTATTTGACGGATAAATTCATGATTATCATTGATTTCATCTATTGATCAAATTAAGAAGAACTTTCTTCTGCAGATTGTTGGAAGCCTTTTTACACATCATCAGAAATGTGTGCTTGTTGACACAGAAGCACCTGGGAATGAACGGAAAATCACTGCTTTTATTGGTGGCCTGGATTTATGTGATGGCCGCTATGACACTCCCCAGCATAGACTGTTCAGCGATCTTGATACTGTCTTTGGAAATGATGTTCATAATCCTACATTCACGGTAAGCTGTTAATATGGATCTGTTGAAGTTTTCTGGATAAGGTTTTATAAGAGCCGTTTAAACTTCTTCAGGAACCAAAGTCTTCTATAAGTATAACCTTTTCTCCATACTTAGTGCCTGAGCTTCTTATTCACATGAAAGATACACGCCATTTGCTATTTGATGGATTTACAGCTTGGATTTCTGCATGTTAGTATTTCGATTGCAGGTGAAAACAAGTAAAAGTGCCTTCCCTTTTCATGTGATAGTGGCTGAAATAATAATAGATAATAAATGGATGAGTTACCAACTTACCATTATGTTCAAATACGGACAACAGTAGTTTTTGCGTTTTTCATTGAATGTTGACTTTATCTTTTCTTTCATATACATTTCAGAAAGCTAATATTTGATAGGTATATCATTGTAATCTCTTATGATATATACAGACTACTTCAGGTGGCCCAAGAGAACCATGGCATGATCTACACTGTAAAATTGAGGGTCCTGCTGCTTATGATGTTTTGACAAACTTCGAGCAAAGATTTAACAAGGCCATTAAATGGCTCAAACTAAGAAAAGTCAAACAAGGATCTGATACATTGCTTAAATTAGATCGAATAGCAGCAATTCGCATGCCTTCTGCTGGGCCAGATGGTGACCGTGTGGTCCGTGTCACAAGTGAACAAGATCCAGAGAGTTGGCATGTGCAAGTATATTAGACATATTTCTTCATTTGATTATTCGTCAATCATTAGAAGTTCATTCTAATCATTTCTTGTGCACTCTTCCCAGGTATTTCGATCAATTGATTCAGGATCAGTAAAAGGATTTCCAAAAGACGTTAAGGAAGCTGAGGCTCAGGTATAATACTATAGAACTAAAGCTTTTTGAAAACCTGAGTTGTATATATTACTACTAGTTTCAGAAAGTTGTTGCTGGTAGATGATGTGTGGCAAATGAAGTCAGAAAGTGAAAATGGAACATGTCAAATTAGCTATCTCCATTTGCAGAATCTTGCCAGTGGAAAAAATTTGAAGATAGAAAGAAGCATACATTTGGCTTATGTGAAAGCAATTCGATCTGCCCAGCACTTTGTTTACGTAGAGAATCAGTATTTTCTTGGTTCTGCATATAGCTGGCCATCTCACCGAAATTCAGGTATGCAAATTTTCTTAACTCAATTTCATCTATTGTTCTTAAAACTTCTAGCATAGATTCAAATTAGTCCTATACAAATGATTACCTGGAGGTCCAATAGCCAATTATAAACTAACAGCTCTTAAGAATAAATTAATTCAAACTGTATCCGTAATGTTAAGAGTTAAGATGCAAATGAATGGCTTTTAACAAGAAAAGCGAATTTCATAGCTTACTTGAATGTCTATGTATAGTAACATATTAGTACTCTATCTTTATAACAGGAGCTAATAACCTAGTCCCTATGGAAATAGCTCTGAAAATTGCCAGAAAAATAGCAGCAAATGAACCTTTCGCAGCATACATTGTGGTTCCAATGTGGCCTGAAGGTGTCCCAAGCAGTAAACCAGTCCAAGAAATTCTCTTCTGGCAGGTTCGAAGTAGCTCTACTTAATTAATGCCTGCTTTTTTGAACTGATTGTTCATAAGCCTCACTATAATTCTGATTAATCTTCAATTATCGCAGAGCCAAACAATGGCTATGATGTACAAAATAGTGGCAGAGGCTCTAGATAAGGCAAGGGTTTCTCAGTATTTTCATCCTCAGGATTACTTGAACTTCTACTGCCTGGGGAAGCGCGAGGTAGCAAAGGGTAAAAGTGAGAAATCTGTGTCACAGGGATTGGCTCAGAAGTTTGGGAGATTTATGATATATGTACACTCAAAAGGAATGATAGTAGATGATGAGTATGTGTTGATGGGTTCTGCAAATATCAACCAAAGATCTTTGAGTGGTTCTAGGGATACAGAAATTGCTATGGGAGCTTATCAACCAAATTACACATGGGCAAAAAAAGATCGTCATCCACATGGCCAGGTTTGGAAATATAACTTAAAACACTTTTACCCTTTTTCTGCATTACAAAAGTGGTTCAAAGAAGTCTATAGTTGTAAAAGTAGTACAACAAAGAACTGGATTACTGGTGCAGTTTAGTTGGATGGCTAAATTCATCGAATTGTTATTTTAAGCATAGTATATGAGCATATTAAGGGGCTAATGCAAGACAAGAGAACTTCATATATTCATGAGTTTAACTAACATAATATGTGTTACACTGTCAGTGCATATAAGTGAAATTCGCCGACTTTAACCACACAATCAATGGAAATGGATCTTTTTGCATTCAGGTCTATGGTTATCGGATGTCTCTCTGGGCTGAGCATCTTGGAGTGATCGAGAATACCTTGACGGAGCCCCAGACAGTGGAATGTGTTAGACGCGTTAATGAGATTGCGAGATACAACTGGAATGCATTTTCAGGGGATGAGTACAAGAAGATGAAGGGGCATTTGATGCAATATCCAATTCAGGTTAGCAAGAATGGAGATGTCACAACTATGCCTGGCTTTGAATGCTTTCCTGATGTTGGTGGTAAGATTCTAGGGGCACCTACAAATCTTCCTGATGCTCTTACCACTTAACAATCACATATACCTAATGGCACTGCTTGAAACGCGTTCTGCTTAGTCGGATCAGTAGATTTTGGATACTAGATTCCTAAAAGACGGAGGAAGATAAGAGATTGTTTATGCAGGATATGATTGCATCTATTCAGAATCTTTATAGTCAGTTTTATCTACATTTTTTTTTTTTTTTAGTTGTACAAACTTATTTCTATTTTTTTGGCTACAACTACTTAAGAAGTCTGTACATTGTGCAAGTTAGATGTTAAGAAAACGTTGATAAATATTTTGAACTTTGTTATAGTTGGTGTAATATGATTTTTTTTTTTTGTTGCTTTTAGGAATATCATAGTATAAATTATTATTATTACTATTACTAGGAATTAAAACGGAGACAAATTTCGAGAGAGAGGAGGGGTTTTTTTGTGGTTAGGGCGGGGGNTGAACCTTGATTCACTTCAAACAGCAGCAACTTCGGTTCAGATCAAACACCTGTGCATATATTATTTAAATAGGGGCATAAGTTTGTTATAAAAATTTGCCAATTCATTAAATATTATTAATATTGGTCAAATGTTACCAATATTAGTCAATTAGCTATTTATAGTCAAAAAGGTTAATTTTTTTTAATGGGTGTTATTAGAATAGATTGGGTACATCTTAATGAGTTTGAATCTCAATTTTCGGATGATTTGGCGGAGTTTTGATGTGGTTTGAATTAAAAATTCGAAGTAAAAGATGAAACATGAAAAAAATTATATGTGTATCACATATGTATCATATTCGTATCAAATGTGTATCACATGTATATCCATGTATACCTATGTGTGTGATACATGCATATATATGTGTCTCAGAAGAATTTTTTGAAATCGATTTTAACTACGAATTTTGATACCAAACCACCTCCAATCTTCCTCAAAATTTGTATATTGACACATCTATATCCAAATCAAGTGATCAAAACAGAATTTATATATAAAATAGAAAAAAAGATAAACAAGAATGAAGCTAACGGTACCCAAGAATGGAGCTAATGGAAAATACCATGGAAGAAACCATTTAATGAACTAAAGTGAATTCACACCGAAAAGAGAACCATAAAGTTGAAGAAACATAACAGGTAAATCTCACAAATGGTCATATAACTACTCCCTCCGTTCACTTTTATTTGGCATGTATACTAAAAATAGATTTTCATTTTTACTTGTCACTTTACGCATATGTGATGACCCAAAATGTCATCTTTAAATTTAATAATTAATTATATGTTCTAAGACCTCAAAAAGTACTATTTATCACTACTCGACTTGCGTGCGCAGTCGGTAAAATTTTTCGGAAAATTTTTATGTGAAAAATGAATTAAAATGCTAATTAGAGCTTTAAAACTCAACTGAGTTGACCTTGGTCAATATTTTTAGCAAACGGACTCGGATCAGTATTTTTACAGATTCGGTAGGTCCGTATCGTAATTTGGTACTTGGGCGTATGCCCGGAATCAAATTCCGAGGTCCCTAGCCCGAGATATGAAATTTTGAAGAAAAATTAAAAGTTTAAATTCAAATAGTGACCGGATGCCGAATTATGTGCAAACGACCCCGGAATAGAATTTTGATGATTTCAACAGTTCCGTATGGTGATTTTGGACTTAGGAGCGTGATCGGAATTTTATTTGGAAGTCCGTAGTGAAATTAAGCTTGAAATGGCTAAAATAGGAATTTAAGTTTGGAAGTTTGACCGGGGGAGCTGACTTTTTTATTTCGGGGTCGGAATCCAGTTCTAAAATTTTTTACAGCTCTGTTATGTCATTTATGACTTGTGTACAAAATTTGAGGTCAGTCGGACTTGATTTGACATGTTCCGGCGTCGTTTGTAAAAATTAAAAGTCTCAAAGTTTATTAGGCTCAAATCTATGTGTGATTCGTGTTTTTAGAGTTGTTGGATGTGATTTGAAGACTCGACTAAGTTCGTATGATGTATTAGGACTTGTTGGTATATTTGGTTGAGGTCCCGAGGGGCTCGGGCGTGTTCCGGATGGTTAACGGATCATTTTTGGCCTTGGTGAGATAACTGATATCTGCTGCTGCAATTTTTCTGGTTTCTTCTTTGCGTTCGCGAGAGGAGCCTCGCATTCGCGAATAGTGTTCTGAGCTGGTGAGATTTTTGTACTATGCGTTCGCGTAGGAGAGGACGCGAACGCGAACGCGAAGGGTAGGGCAATGTGTGCATCGCGAACGCGTGAGTGGCGTCGCGTTCGCGAAGGAGAGTGAGGCAGTTGGGAACCCCGGTCTTTTGTTCTATGCGTTCGCGAGGTAAGGGACGCGTTCGCGAAGGTATGAGTTTGCAAAGCTTTGCGTTCGCGAAGAGGAAAGTTGGGCAACACATTTTTGTGCTTCACGAACGCGAGTCAAGGGTCGCGTTTGCGAAAAAAAACCACTGGACATAATGTTTAAGTTTAGAAAATGAGACTTTTTAACGATTTGGAGCTCGGATTGAGGTGATTTTTGGGAGATTTTCAGAGAAAACATCGGGGTAAGTATTCTTAACTCAATCTTGGTTAGATTACCCGAATCCATCACTGTTTTTAACATTTAATTGGTGATTTAAGTTTAAAAATTTTGAAAAAACCCTCATGGATAGATTTGAGGATTTGAGGGTCGAATTGTTATTAGAATTTAGTCATTTTAGTATGGTTAGACTCGTGATTAAATGGGCATTCATATTTCATAACTTTCGCCAGATTCCGAGACGTGGGCCTCACAGGTCATTTTTGAGTTAATTTCGAATTTTTATTGAAAAATGTAGTATTTTCTTATAGTATTAATTCTATAATTTTTGTTGATTGTATCGAATTAATTATGACTAGATACGAGTTGACCGGAATCGGAAAATCGAGAAAAAAATACACTACTTGGTTAAATTGGAGCAAGTCAAGGTAAGCGACTTGTCTAACCTTGTGTGGGAGAAATTTTTCCTAAGATTGATATTAATTGTAATGTGATGAAAGTCGTGTACACGAGATGACGAATGTGTACACGGAATAAATGTGAAGGATTATATTTTTAAATTGTGAAGATCACTGTTGCACATTAATTAAATTATTAAATCTTGTTATATTCTCCATCATTGATTTGATTTGTATACTTAAAATTTGCTTGATCTTTTCCTGCTAATTATTTTACCTATTTAGTTGAAACTTGGTTTCTTTTATTCTATGCATTATTAGAAATTGATTTTCTTTAAATTAAATATTATTAATATGAAGTATTTGACATTTTTAAATTTGGTATTGAAGCAACGTATTAAAGATTTGAAATATTATTTTGCTAAATTATTTATTTTCGAATATGTTTGTAAGATTTTTGTACTCATTGTGATGGAGCCGTGAGTTCTTTATTGTGGAAAAATATTATTGATAATTTATGTTGGCATGAGCTATGAGCTCTTTATTGTGGAAAAATATTGTTGTTGATTTACTTTGGCAAATTAAAATATTTGGGTACTTGAGGTGCAAATTGTGACATGTGGTGATATTGATACGCATGCGGTGGTATAAGGTCTGGGTATTGAAACGCATGCGGTGAGATAAGGGTGGCTTGATACGCGTGGCTAGTAGGAGGGAACTACTAGAGGTCATGCGGTGTGATAAGGATGGATTAAATGCGGGATGCTATTTCGGAAAAAATATTTTATTTAAAATAAATTGTGAAGGCTCCCGCGGTGAGATAAGAAAATGAGATATTGTGAATTTATTTATGATTTGGGACTACGAGACGGTACCTCGGGAGTGCCCTTGTTGATATTAATTTATGGTCGTAGTTGCCGTTAATTATTTGTTGTGATTTTCTTAAGTTGAAAGGAAATTTTGTTGGTTTCTACGAGATATCATTTGCCATTATTTTGTATAATTAAATAGCGACCTGCTACTTGATTCATTTCCATTATCATTTTATCTATTATATTATTAAATATTTTACCATGTTATTATTTATTTTCCAGTAGGGCCTGACCTGACTTCGCCACTACTCTACCGAGGTTAGGCTTGACACTTACTGGGTATCGCTGTGGTGTACTCATACTACGCTTCTGCACATCTTTTTGCGCAGATCCAGGTACATCTTATCAGACTAGGCATCAGTAAACTAGCTGTACGAGGAGACTTCGAGGTATACCTGCCAGCGTCCGCAGACTCCGGAGTCCCTTTCTATCTTACTATGTTGCCTCCTTAATTGTTTTAGACTCTGATGTATAGAGACATAGAGAATAAATTCTTAGAAGCTTGTGACTTATTTCTACCGGATTTTGGGAGTTGTAATTATTTGAATTGTAATTTATTTATTTCAGATATTTATGATTATTCTGCATTGATAGGCTTACCTAGTCTTAGAGACTAGGTGCCATCACGACATCCTACAGAGGGAATTTGGGGTCGTGACATCATATCAAGAGAAGACAAAAAAATTCTCGTTATACCCACAATATTTATTACTCATTTCAAATCATTTTCTCAAATCCAATAAAATATGCATCAATTAATATGGGTATCGTGGTAAATTATGCACTTCATTTATTATTTCTTAAGGGGCGTGAAAAGTCAAAACGTGCCAAGTAAAAGTAAACGGAGGGAGTATAATATTTTTTCACTAAAGTCATATAACTTTGTTTTCTTACACAAAAATTATATAACTATGACTTTTTTTCACCAAAGTCATATAACTATATTTTCTCATACAAAAATCATAAAACTTTTACTAACTCACACAAAAATTATTGTGATTGGAAAATATAACTTTTCAGTAGTATTTTTCTATTTTCAGTCTAATAAATAATAATCCAATTAAAATAAGGATGAGTCAACCCGACCTGGCCCACCCAACCCAATACTCATATATAAAAATTAAAATAATACTAAAAGTGAATTTTAAATCCTTCAAAACATGACACTTCTATTTTTTATTTTTATTTTCAAGATTTTTATTCAAATCGATAGCATTTTTATTTCAAGTGCTATCTAATTATACCTTTTATTTTCTTATTCTTTTATCAAAATCTCATGCATTCCGAACTAAGTTTCTTACAGGGGAAGAATTCACTTTGGGGTCATTTGGTTTGAATGCAGGTTATGCGGGGATTATTTTTTATCCACTATTTGGTATATTGTATTAAAAATGACATGCATTGCATAATTTCTAAGAAGAAGTTATTTATTTACAAAAATAACCTCCATCTTATTTAGACTCCATCTTCTTGCTTCTTTATCGAGTTGACACGTCAATTTTCAATTCTTATATCAACAAGTAT